TTTTTTTTATTAATTTGATGTTCAGAGCTCAAAAGTCCAGATCATTATGATTTCACAGAACATCTCAAATTGCTGTGAGGGGATTGCTTCAGATTTCACATTTGTAGACTTACAGTTTCACAATAAGTCTCTTTAACAGATGGATCAGCTGATTCAGAACGCTGCACTTGGGTGGATCACATCAGTCCTGTTCTCAGATCACAGCTCCCTGGCCATTATGGAACCAATTTCAAAAGTGCTGCTGTTAAAAGCACTAAATGATGAAATACCAAACATCACTCAGGCATCAGTTTACGACATTAAATTGCATGTACGTTTTTTACATGCAAATCATAAAATAACCTCATTTGGTCATTATAATGTAATTAATTATTAAATCATATACTCTTTTATTTGCATACAGAGCAGGAAATAAGATCTGACCTCATCTATTCACTAGAGACACATATGGAGACACACTCGGAGCTGATGGAGTTATGTGAACAGGGCCTTTTTATGATTTTCTTCCCTGTTTTTGTTCAAGAGTGTGCATGGTCTTTCAGTTTGAGAGCAGCACTGATTTTAAATTCCGATTTTGTAATGCTTTCACTCAAAATCCTGCACTCGCACTCAAATAGCTCCTGCTTGTGCTTAGATTGGATCTGCCTGAGCTTAAACTGACGCTTGCATGACAAATTTGAGAAAATGCATCAAAACTTTCACTATTAATTTGACTTATCCCTATTTCTTCTGCTCTGTCAGAGGATAATAAATCAGTTGACTTGCTTTTCAACAGCATCACAATACAATTCGATAAGTGCAACTTGTTAACTAATGAGAGGCAAAAAGTCTGAGTGCATGTTTCTTGTTACAAGTTTATATTTGTGACCTGAATGTCTGTGCCTGTTCTCCCAATGCTCTATGAAGCAAATATGACATGAGGGAACATAATAAGATAATCAAGCTGAAAATCTATTCTTAACTAATCTATCATAACATTATGATTGACAAGAAATCCATTTGGTGCTCATCTACATGTCCGTTTACAACTGGGCAAACTCCATCTGCTAAACATCACCATATTATGGTCAGTGGTCTGCGTTTCAAGAGCCGGTTTCTAGTCAAAGTGCTTTATTCAACATTCACCCCATTTCACCGCAGCGCTTCAGGACTTTAAAATGCTTTTGGAATTCGAAAACCTTTATCCTCTGTATTGGAGTGCAGCCCACACTTAGCACTATGGGTAATACAGCCTGCTGTCTAGGAATCATGGGAAATGTAGTGAAGAATTGTGCACTCAGCTACACTGGCAGACTGTATGAGAGGCTAAGAGGAGGGTGTGCATTGCCATCCCCACCTCCAGTCCACTCAGCCATCAGCACAGTCACAGGATCTGGCAGCATCTTTATTCCTCTCAGCAAACCTGGCTTTGTGTCCCCATTCCAGTGGCTCTCCATCTCTCCCAGATTCCTCCCCGTCAGACCTCCACTGAGCATGCAGCGCCTACGTCAGAGCAGATGGAGAGGAGGAAGAGGGGGAGGGTAAGACACAGAGACAGAGGGGAGGAGGAAGAGGGAGCTGTATGTGTCTCCTGCATCAGCGCCAGCATCACTGCCACGCCAGCTTTCGTCACCGGAAAACAACGACGAAGAGCTTCACACTCAAACAGAGGGAGGAAAAAAAACATCATCAGCAACAGCAGCTCCTCCTTCACCACCAGACGTGCAGCCACAGCTTAGGCCAAGACGCTTCTACCTTCCCCCGGCATCTAAAAGCTCCCCACGACACAGAAAAAGCTCTCCCAGGCATGACCTGAGTGAGGCAGACAAGCCATCAGTCGCTCTCCATCGACATGGGCAACCAGGAGGCTAAGCAAAGGAAAGCTGCAGCATCGGGAAATGGAAGCTACCCATCACTGGATGAAGGATGGAGAGATGGAGGAGGGGATGTGACAAAAAAGGGAGGAAAGAAGCTGCACGGTAAGCATGGAGGTAAAGGAGCAGGCAGCAGTGGAGGAGGAGGGGGGATGCATGGCACAGGACCAGGCAAGAAAAAAAACAAATCCGAGTCCAAGCCCTCTGTTTTCTCCATCCGCAAGAGAAAGAGCAACCTGAAAGGAAAAGGAGACGCATGCTCCTCTGTAACAGGCTCAAAGGAGGACGTGTTAGCATCACAACACGATGAACTGGACAGGACAAAAACACCTGATTTGTCTGCAGATGAGCTTGGACAGTCGGACACTGAGGTTGCTTTCCCCGAGAAGCGAAAGAAAGTGAATCCAAGGGACAAGGATGGAGATGGAGGAGGAGGAGGAGAGCAGCGGAAAACCTTGACAGCAGCGACCTCTCCCACAGAGAATGGAGGGCGGAAGGGAGGGAGTTCGGGGTCAGACACTGATATTTACAGCTTCCACTCAGCAGCTGATCACGAGGATCTGCTAGCGGATATCCAGCTCGCTATAAGGCTGCAGCACCAACAGCAGGGAGGGGGGGAGGAGAAAAGGAAGAGGAGTAATGGAGAAGTTAAATTAACTCCTCCTGAAGAACTTGACCTGACCCCAGAATTGGAAGTGGCATCTGATGCGCTGTCATTCCTAGAGACAGGGACTCTGTCTGGCTCAGTAAAGCACATGGACCAGCCTCCAACAATCACCCCCCCCTTCCACACAGAGGTGCAGGAGAGGAGGGAGGAGAAGGTGCAGAGGGAGGAGGTGGAGCATCTGGAGTTAAATGGGGAGGGACAGAGGGAGAGAGAGAGAGAAGCCTCTCTTTGTGTTGCCACAGGCACAAAAGAGCAGCATGGTTTGGTACTGCAGCCCGCTCACACGGCAGTCACCATGGCTACTGTAGGGGGGGTAGCAGTCAAGCCAGTCACTATGACAACCAATGGCAACAGCTTCCTGGATCACAAACCCCCAAGGGAGGGGGAGGAAGCAGGAGGTGAAACCCCTCAGGAAGAGAGGGAGCCTGGGGTGGAAATGGATCTCAGTCCTCCACCCACAGACAGCCACAACACAAGCACTGAAGCCATGGATGGGCTGAGGCCAGACATCCTGTCCGAGGAAGGTGAGGGTCCGTTGGGCTCGGGTACTAGTGCAGAGTCCCTCGAGGACTGCCTAAGTGCTGGCTCTGAGCACCACTCAACCAGCACCAGTGCCTCCCCCTACACCCAGCAGTGCAGGAGGAGCAGCATCTGCTTCAGCCCGCTGCCTCCTCAGGAGAGCCCCACATTGGCCAAACGACTCCTCAGGTCCACCCACTCCTCCACCTCCTCTAGCCCTGTGGTGAAACCCTACCCTCCTATCTTCCCCTCCTACATAAAGACCACCACCAGGCAGCTCAGCTCCCCAGGACACTCCCCAGCCCTGTCCCCATCCCACAGCCCTGTGTCCCCGCGTAGAGTCCACCATCACCTCCACAGGTACCTGTGGTGCTGCTGCATGATTCTTTCAAACTCTTTCATTGTCATTGACAACACGTCATATATGTTTTTTAAGAAAGCCAATCAAATGAAGTCAAATTTCAGATAGTGGGTTCACTTATCATTAAGAGATTGTTGAACGATACTTCCAGTTTATTACAAGTTGGTTCATCAGGTCATAGTTTTGGATGTTGTTTCAGTAACAGTAGCATTACCATGTCAAGCAGTGTTGCAGCGCATGGGAGGAAATAGATCAGACAGGTGGTAAACATACCCCCCCCACACACACACAGGTTAGGTGAAGTCATTTTAAAGAAACAATAAAGGTGAACACTAAATTCACTACTCAAACTGTCACTTGTAAACATACGTCACAGTTTACAAATCCACTTCCTGCTTCCCCTTTAACTTAAAGAACTTTGCACAGTTCTCTGTTCAGTGAGGGAATAATGAAATGTTGATTTTATTATAACCAACATTTCAGGGGTGCTCATTTTAGCCATTTTCAGACATGAAGAATTAGGTCTGGACTTTATCCGGAGTTTGCGTTTCACACATGAACAACGCAGATTATCTGTTCAGTCTCATTCACAACAACACGCTGCAAAGATTAAGTGGTTTTGTTTACAGCACATCAACACCATCGTCAGCCCTTATCACTAACAGCTATCATGACATCTTTGTTGGTGCATGGCACCCCTTTTTGATCCTGAGATATTTGTATTCATTTAGCAGCTGTTCGCTCATGGAGAATCCTGTGCAGGATCTCCTGCTTTTTTTCTCACATGAGCTCATTTCGGAGTGCAAAGGCTCTAATTTGTACATTTGCATTCTCACATACAGCCCCTCTGGATATTGTGTATGTATAGCCAATGTTTTTTAGGGGGGAAGTGAGGCCTTGTGTGGCACTGTGGCCTTTATTGATAGTTCTGGGCCTGGCGTAAGTGTGGAAGAGCAGGGAAACTGATGGTTTCGTGCCCTGCCACACTTTGTTGTGCTGATATCACCCAGCTCTAAAGCAATTAGAATCAGACCAGAGTTGTAATAAACTGGAATTGACCTCTCACTTAGACCTCCAACCTCCGCTTAGTTACCGTTTCACCACCTGTCACCTTTTCCAATCTTTTTCTGAGGGTCTGCAGGACAGGGTTCCAAAGCCCTCTCATTAATTGTCAGTTGGTCAAAGTCACTTGTTCATGCCTCCTGCTGAACCTGACAAAGAACTATTAAAAACATGTTTGACGACTACATTCATTATAACATGTTAACTCAACAGATGCAGTTTTCAAAGGATAGTTGAGCGTGTGAAAGTTCATGTAATCATCCTCCAACTTTTCACACTGAATATCTCACACCTCACGTGTCCATCAACAACAGCAGAAACACCTGTTTATATTTATCATGGGTGTCCGTAATTAAACTGACGTGACTGATGTGAGAGATCATCTTTGGGGTGGATGAGAGACGTGTCTATGTTCATGGCGCAGGAAGCAGCGGTTCAGCGAGCTAACACATCCACGTTATCAACGCTGAATATTGAGGGGATTTAATCAGCTTTCGTTCTGCTTTAGAGTCCATCTGATGATGCTACTTACTTCCTCTATAGCAATTTGTTTACAAAGTAAAAGCACAATTGTTTTGTAGCTACAATGCTTTATATAAAGAGCTTTTATTTTGAAACATTGAACCTGGCTCTTAAGATCCTGTTGGCTACTTAATAGACATGCGTATGAAGAAATAACCCCAAGTAGCTAAATAATTCAAAATTATTTATATAAGACACACACAATCACTAATAAAGCAAATTAAACAGTTTTATTTTATTAAAAACATTGACAATATAATATTCATTGCAGATAAACCAGGTAGGATGTACACAAAGTTATTTAAATGTCACTCTCCACCATAAACTGTTTATAAAAAGCTCTGCACACAACGTCCAGTACACAAACAATAAAAGGTTTATTGTAGAACTGTTTGAGGAGGACTCACTGACGACAAAGAATAAATCTGAAGTAGCATCAACACAGGACAAGCAAACAGACCATTACAAACAGGCAGCTTTACAACAGGCGCTGCAGGAGGAACTACAATGACTGAATCAATGTTATGCATTGACTTTTGACTAAAAGCTTTTTCTTAGCCACATCGCATTCAGAAGGATTTTAGATCTTAACCTCCCTCTAATTTCTGCAATACCTCTGACTGTTCCCGTGATGGCTTCCATTAATCTCCATAAAGTATAGAAGTAAACAAAAACAATCCTTATATTCAGTCCATCACAGTGAACATGAGGCCTGCTTTTGTTGTTAGCAAAGTTACCTCGTTATGTGGCGATGCAGCGCTCCCCTGACTCAGTGATCAGATGTCATCTGTAGGTATGAACCTGCCATCGGGTCCTCTTTCAGGCAGCCTTCTCTCCTCCCTCTCTGCTGCTTCATCCTGAGCTCAGCACCAGCCCAGACGAGTGATTGGTTTAAAAAATACAAACATTGCCAAGCTATTTGGCAGAATGGTAATGTGAGCATCCAGTGTCTGGATATGTGAGGCTAATGCTATGCAGTCCCCAGCTCGTTGCATTAAGAAACTGACTCATGTTCGAGGTCTGTTATTTATCTTCATTTTTTCATACCATTTTCATACGTTTCATAAATGGAAGCACCTCAATTAGCACACTTATTCCAGTGCATGATCCAACCTGCATTTTTGACAGGATGATGGCTGAGGCTCACCGGGTGCGTAGGCAGCGCTCCCGGAGCCTGGCTGGGTCTCTGAGTCGCTCAGCTGACTGGACAGAGGAGCTTGAGAGGAGGCTGAGGAGCAGAGAGGAGGATGGAGGAGGCTCTGGTGGTTCAAGAGAATATCTGGAGGGCTACAGAGGAGGAGGCAGCCAGCCCCTGTGTGCGACCAGGAGATCTTCCTGTGGACAGGTTTCCACTTGTGGCTTTCAGGACATCTTTACGGGTGAGTACAGAGCAGTCTCAGCACTCGGTTCTGTCCATGATTACCACTTCCTGTGGGTGAGAGGGTATGAAATTAAATATAGCAGAAGTAGAGTAGCAGAAGTGTCTTAATGGCACTGAGGCTAAAATAACTGATTTAACCTGAGTGTGTAATTTCTGCATCTTGAGAAGAGCAGCGAGAGGTCAGCATACAGAGGAGGTCAGTGGTTATCCAAAACCCTCATAGCCTCTGATAGGATGTCATTTGTAATCAAACCTTGTGCTGACAGAAGTATTTAGGATGTCTGCAAGTCATTGCTCAAAAACCTTTAGCTGTCCCATCCACCCTGTCCCAGGTGAAGCCATCCTTGTTTCTCTCTGTCATTTCTGCATGTCCAGGTCGCACCTTGCTAGAGAAGCTGTTCCTGCAGCAGCAGCAGCAGCAGGAGGAGCCCGAGGAGGCAGAGAGGCTGTGCTCCAGGATCTTGGCCATGGGTCTCCTGCTACCGTTCACCGACTGCTTCAGAGAGAAGCTGGGTGACAGCACCGCACACATCACCTCCACATCATCAGCCAGGTTTGACGTAAGTAGCTGGGAGCAATACACATTATTTTTCCAGCCACAGACACGTTTGTTCTGAGTTGCTTCGATTTATATTCTTCACAAAGTCCTATTTACAAAGGAGGCGTGTGTATAATGTGAGTTTACTGTCTAAAAGTGATTGTATATGCCTGGTCTCATTCTCACTGTCTCCACAGCATGACCAGTTGTATACATGGGCAGCAGTTAACCAACCGCCACACTCGCTGGATCTGCTTGACGGGAGGCCACCTGGGCAGATCAAGGGTCCCTTGCCCCCAACCAGGCCTGGTTCAGACAATAGGAACGGATTCAAATCCACAGAGGCTGGTAATAATAACACTTACACGTGTCCTGTTCACAATGCACATGTCATACAGATTATCATCAAACTCCATCACTTGTAGCGAGATAAATATCTTAAAGTGTCTTTAAGTCAGAATCTGTTTTTCTGACTTAACAAGAAAATGAAGTTGCCTGATTCAAAAAAGCAGAGCAGAATTTTTTTGTCTCAGGTGAAACAATACGCTTCAGTAGATGTGTGTGTGAAAGACTAAATATCATCACGGATTTCAATCTTTGCATTTGTTTCTTCTCTCCTTGTTTTTCATTTCTCTGTCTTCTGAATGGGATCATTCTTCAGTATTTGTTGAAGACAATCAAGGTCAGTGGTAACATCATAACTTGAAATAAAGCACCCTGTATCATGGCGGGTTAAGAGTTGGCCCCCCTGAGATTAAGTTTGGTTGTGGTTTTGCCAAATTTTCAAGAAAACCAAAAAAGCAGGAACAAAGTTCACAGTTATGAAAAAAAATCAGTGCACACAGGAATACATGATAAATGGTAAATGGTTTGTATTTAGATTAGATTTTTTAGTCTTGATGACCACTCAAAGTCCTTTACAGTACTTTTTTGCCATTCACACACACATTCTTACAGTGCATCTATGGACAGCACTTTTTTCTATGAGGGGCCATTCGAGGTTCAGTACTTGCCCAAGGACACTTCTGCATTTAAGCTAGTGATACTGGCTTGTACTTCCTTTTCTTTGACAAAAAAATGTGATCAACTATATCACAGCAGATTGATAGATATGTATTATGTACAGTCAATTCATGTGTTCATAATCACCCACAGGAGTCTGGTTGGGTTTTACTGACCGGCTTATGTGTGTGTGTGTGTGTGTGTGTCTGCAGAGCATCCTGCAGACATGTTGGGTTTGAGGCAACCACAGGAGGAGAGTCAAGATTGTCTGGTCAGTCACTTTCACTTTCATTCTGTTGTGGGTTTTTTTTATAAACTCCATGTAGACTGTTCTACAGAGTCTACATTATAATCTTCTGAACAATGTTATGCAATGTTTTTTTTGTGCATGATCTTAAACAAGCGAATTAATTTATGAACAGATGCGTCCTTCTAACCTTTGGTTCTGATGTGATGGCTGAAATTGTTCTCTTTGTTGAGAAGTCTGATGTCAGATGATGATGATGATGATGATGATGATGATGATGATGATGATGATGATGATGATGATGATATTGATATTGATTATATAGAATGTACAGTTTAGAAAATCAGGCGGAGGGAGTGTTGTAACTTTAAGCTCATTGTATCTCGGCAGCGTGCAGTGATTTTGTGTTGTGGGTTCTCAGGCACATCAGCCGGTTCCACATTAAACAGCTTAACAAATATACACATAGGCAGGTGCACAATGTGCATACACTCTGCTTGTCACACACACACACAGATGATACACTTGCACGTTTTCCTCTGCAGAGAAGTGTTCCCACTGACTACCTTTAAGGTATCAATTCATTAGAGCTCATCTGGCTTTTAGAGGATATGGTAAAAGGCCCTCTGATTGGTTTATAGCATGTTACACCCAAAACACAACAATGATTAACTATTTGGATTTGGATGCAAACTAAATGCACTTGCTCCATTGATTGAATCATTAAAAAGGATTTTTTTGTCAAAGCACTTTACAGTAAAAGTCACATCCACTCATTCATACAGCACTATATACACAGCCGTCTGCAGTGTCTTGCAGACTGAAGGAGTCAAGTAACCTTCTGATTAGTGTACAACCCGCTCTATCTCCTGAGACAAGGCTGCACTTAAATCAGCCCTTAGTTTTTGAATTGGATTTTCTTAGATCTGCAAAGTCTGCTTAAAGGAAACAGAAAATGACAAAAGGCAAGGTAGCTGATGCAGTCAACTCTAATCAGACGCTACAGTCCTATGACGCACTAGTCTGTGTCTATGGTGAACCATTTGAGCTACAAGGTCCGAGCACTGACACTAAATGTTGATGCTGTACATACTCTTCACTGATATAGTAATTTACTTTGAGATTGTTGTTGTGAGAGTTTTTATTTCCCAGGGGACCCACAGAGTCACATGTCAGAGTAGATTTTTCCGAGCAGCTGATTCTTATTTTTCCGAGGTTATTGAAGTTGTGTTTTTGGTTATTTGCAGGAAGAAAGAGTCCTGCCTTCAGCAAAACTGAAAGAGAAGCACATTAATGTCATCCAGCAGCTGGAACAAACCATAGAGGACCTCAGGACTAAGATCGCTGAGCTGGAGCGACAGCCCCCTCTACTGGACAGCGACAGTATGAAACCCACCATCTCCACCACAGATAAGGAGTGTGGGGGGGAGGAGGGCTTGCTGAGGGATGTGTGCGACGCCCACCTGCAGACAGAGGCCCCTCCCTCTCCGGGCTGCCTGGAGGCCAAGTCTGTTCAGACCTCGCCCATGGACGACGGCTTTAAGTTCAAAGTGCCTTGTAGTGAGTCGGGTGGAGTGAACGGCTTCCTGCACCCCCCACCCAGGCAACACGGCTTCCAGTGTTCGTGCCAGCAGCAGCCTCCCTCTCTGCCCCTTCCAGTGGGAGCAGAGGCCTCTCATCCAGCACAGACTGTGGCGCCTCCTCCTCCTCCTCCTCCTCCTCCTCCTCCTCCACCTCCTCCCCCCCCACCCTTACAAGTGGGCTCAGTGCCTCCTCCTCCACCGCCACCACCTCTACCACCTGGTTCAGCAGTTCCTCCTCCTCCACCTCCTCCACCTCCTCCACCTCCTCCTCCTCTTCCTGGTGGTCTCATGCCACCCCCGCCTCCTCCCCCTCCTCTGCCAGGTGGCAGTGCTCCACCCCCACCCCCTCCTCTCCCTGGTGGCACTGCCCCTCCCCCTCCCCCTCCTCCTCCATTACCAGGATTTGGAGGCCCACCTCCTCCTCCTCCACCACCACCACCTCCAGGCTGCGGGCCTCCTCCTCCTCCCCCTGCCCCACCAGGACAGATCTTCGTTCCCCCGGCTCTCCCAGGTGCTCTGGGCTCCCTGCCTCCTCCGCTGCCGTTTGGGCTGTACGCTCTGGGTCTGACTCAGGAGAAACCCCCCAGGAAGGCTGTGGTGGAGCCACCCAGACCCATGAAGCCGCTTTACTGGACCAGGATCCAGCTGAACACCAAAAAGTAAAAACAGGAGAACAACTGTGGTCATGAACCCACTGCGATTCTTTCACATTCAAAAAGGACATTTACTTTGAAATGCAGAAAACAGTATAAAGCAGGAAAGGTTCAGAAATAGGAAGACATTAGACATTATAACCTATAACCTAGATTTGGTTTGCTGCTTTTTTTTATTTTCTATTGTCCTCGAACCTCATGAAAAGCTGCAAAACAACAATGTCCAAAATTGGCTCTCAAACACTTTTCCTCCCTCCTCTCTCTCTGTGGCTCTCAGCTCTGAGCTTATTGGATCCTGCAGAAAACATAAACCTTTAAAAACTCCTCACACATATAGTTTCCTTTTTAAAAAGACTCAGTGGTTTCCTGAAAAAGCTGCTCACATTGGTTTTTATCACACAAACAGGAGGAAATAGTGACTTTGTTACTTTGGCAGCAGGATGGTGTGTGTCATACTAAACTTCAGTGTGTGTTTTCAAGGTGAAGACAGAATGTGTGAGTGGCTTACTGATGTATTTTGGATTTATGGACACAGTGGAGGAATCAGATATAATAACAGGAGCTGTTAGTAGGAGACGGTTACTGTTGGTTTGATTCAGCTCACCCGAATTACAGTTTCCACTGAGAACTCGACCATTTTCTGAAAGTGATGCTCATAGGTTAGTTCAGTGTTCTTGCTATTGGAAAGTGAATGCACAGCAAACATCTCTCCTTACATCAGTATCAGCTTTAACAGAGAAAACAGATTTACATCTGTTTGAGGACTGACATAGAGATTTACTGGTTTTGACCACATCCACGTGTTGTGTGCCGGCTGAGTTTGTTTTTGTTCAGCAGCCTCAATTGGTGTTATATTTCAGAGCTTCTTGCCTGCACTTGAACGCAACCCCTATCTGTTCACTGGTAGACTTTTTTAGATTAAAGGCAAATATATTACCAGACTGATTGGAAACCAATGGCATGGTTTGGAAACTTTGGAAACTGTTGGACAATGATATTTGATTTGAGGGTGTAAAACAAGAGAATCCAGTCTTGAGAGAACGGAGGAAATGTAATTTATCAACATTATCTGACATTAATCATACTGAACTATTGTTATTAATATAAGACGCATAGTGAAGTTTTAAGTGTGTCATGGAGGCTGTCGTGGAACAGTGGTAAAATCACTGTTGTCTTTACTGTTGACCTTCACATGTAGTAAGTGCTGTTTTGTGTTTCTTAGGGAGGTTTCTTCTTCATTGGTGTGGGACGCAATCGAGGAGCCTGACATGGACTTTGAAGAGTTCGTGGAGTTGTTCTCGAAAACAGCTGTGAAGGTTAAGAAGCAGCCGCTGTCCGACACCATCACCAAGTCCAAGGCCAAACAGGTCAGTGTGTTTTACATACTCATCACAGAACTGAATTCTACCATGGTAATTTCAGCTTTTATATGTTTTATATGGCTTTCAAATTCTCTGCTTGAATGATGATTGATTATCTAATGGATCATCTCTAAGGCTGACCTGCCTGTGTGTTTGTCAGGACACGTGACAAGGCCCAGATTGCAGTCACGTCTGTTTTATCATTTCACTGCAGCAATTGTATCCTGGTTACACTATTACAGGCCTGAGAAATTACAATGAGGATGTTGTAGTTCCTTACTTTACTTGAATCGGCATATTTGAATACTGACCAGGTGTCCCAGTTGGTTCCAAATCTGTGTGTCTTAGTAATCTTTACCATGGACTTTGTAATTTAGTTATTTTGTCAATGACATGTCATATAGGAAACATGCAGGGAATAAAATGACAGTGTGTTCGAAGTATAAATATATAGCACTTATGATGATGAACATTTATCATATGTACTAAAATAGTATGAAAATGTGCAAATTAAAAATAAACAAATGGTTAGTTATAAAGATGAACCATTCCATTTACTTTGAATATTCATGGTCAACAAAGGAGGATTTCTAACCATATTGGTGGCCAGGCACTTCAATATGTTTGTTCTTTCCCAGATGGAAGCCTCTAATGTTTTCCCCTGATGTCTCATCTTCCAGTGCTAACTTTTATCCAATTGTCAGTCATGCAAAATACTGCAAGATCAAACACAAATCAGTTTAGCATTTCACACCCAGCGTGTGCTGCAAGGCAAAACTACATATACTACAAGCTTCTGAATCTGTTCCTTTGCAGGTTGTGAAGCTCCTGAACAACAAGCGATCTCAGGCAGTAGGAATCCTCATGTCCTCCCTGCACCTCGATATGAAAGATATCCAGCATGGTGAGCTCCTTACTGCTGGATTATTGTGATTGTTTTGTTTCTCTAGCGACCAGTTTCCTGTTTTAGTGGAGAGAGTTGAGGCCCCATGAAAGACTTTGATTGACAATGGATGCAGGGACGTCTCATGGAGAATTTATCTGGGGTTAATTCCTGACTTCAGACCAGCCTGGGGTTCTTTAAATAAACCTCCTCTGACAAAGGAACATGCTGATCTACTGTAGAGGATCTTACATGCCATCATAGCCTCTGTACACATACAGTCTACCCACAGAGCTGCTTTCTGATCACACCTCTTCTCTGTGTGGATTGGGACTATGTGGACTCACTGACTCCACTCATGTTATTTTTGCAGCACCCATTTGGACAAGATGACTTGTTCTTTGTGCTTAGAGTTTTGTGACATCATAGTGTTTCACAATATTCACCCATTTCCAACCTGAGCAGGTCTGAACAGCCCAACTCTGTAAACTGGCCTTTGTGGTTGAGCAGAGTCTGTAAAGCCACTGTGAAAGACAAACATGTTTTGAGCCATTGGAAGATGTCTGATGAATTGGGTCCTGACTCTGAGGTAGTTGCCTTTGACACATGCGCAACACAGCAGGAGTTTCTCTGCTCAGTTTTCTTTTTGGTTTTTTTCAATTTTGCGTCTGTAGAATGTCAGAAACGTCATTAACACCACCACTTGTGATGCATCCTGCGGTGGATCTCCTGCTATGTTCAGCTCCTCCGGACTTTCTGCATACTTTATACTAGGGGACTGACCAGAGAAAGTCTGCAGAAAGTCCCGAGGCTCTCATTCTGACATTTGCATTCAGCTCCTCTGGAGAATGTCAGTGCATGTCTAAAAGCAGCTTTAAAGTCAGGTAGCCTTGTGGGGCTGTAGGAGTGGACCAACTTATATACCAGGCTTTAAAGAAATACATATTGAGCACCAATAATGTTATTTTTAAAATGAATCCCCCTTCCTAACTTCCTCTCTCTCTCTCTCTCTTTCAGCCATCCTGAACTTGGACAACACAGTAGTGGACCTGGAGACCCTGCAGGCCCTGTATGAAAATGTGAGCATCACAGTGTTTGTCAGTGTATGTTGTCTGTCTGGCAATACTGTATGTGGTTCTATGTTTGTGTTACTTTCATGTTTGCTAATAATAGTGAATCACTAGGTCATTTTAACTGTTACCCAGTGTTGAACTATTTTATAAACTGTTCACATCAGTAAAAGAAGCACTCACCCCACTGCAGAGAAAATGTTAATGGCCAAGACTTCAAGCGTAGATCAATGATAAGTGGAAAGTAAGAGAATGGTGCTCAGAAAAGCTCAAAGAAAGGAAAAAGCATCACATCCCACCTTCCAGTGGAAACGATGTCCCTGAATATCAATTTTAGAAATAATTCATGAAGTAAATAAAATATTAAGTGACCTCACAGTCTCGACATGTATCTCTGCTTGTCTGACATTTCCACACGGATGAAGGAACGCCATGTTCAAGTAAATTTCTTTAAGATTGAAATCTAAAGCCCAATTCATGCTTCCTTGTCAAAGCTAAGCCGTATAGGTACGTAGCCTACGCTCTGGGCCAAGTATTCATAGATCTCAGCAATTACACTGCCGAAACACTAGTATCAATTGAGTTTCTATGCTACTGTGTCGATTTTCTTCCGATTTCTGGTCCACTTGTTTAAAAATACTCTGGCGTCTCCATTTACTTCAGAACAATGGCGAGTGTTGCTAAGCGGATGATGTTGGAGTTGTAGGTGATAGATGTTGAAGAGCAATTACTTTTCTTAAATAACTGCAACGGAGAAAAGAAAGACGTTGTCCGTGTTCATTCCTTCAACTGAAACTCAGAAGTGGCAGCGAAGGAGGAGATTCCGGAAATACCGTCTGCTGTTCTACTACACCCAGGTTTTTTATCTGGATCCACACTAAATAGCACACACTCATCAGTACTAATCCCCTAAATGAAATCATAACCTCCTCGGGTGAGGTAATATGAAAGCCATGGTTATCTCACGCCTCTACTACTGCATTGCCCTTCTGTTGGGCCTCCCTTCATGCACGGGGAAAAAGTTCCGAATGCAGTGGCGTGTCTCTCCTTTGATCAGCCTAAAAGGGCACACGTCATTCTGCTGCTCATCACCGTCTACTGGCTGCCACGGCTGTCAATTCAAATTCAAGTCATAAACACAGAGCGACGCCTGGGTCTGCAACGTCTACTTAAACACAATCACCTCTCCATTCCTCTATTGAACGTCTTCTGGTGTTGCCATCCCTGCACACAAGTCAGTCACTGGCCATATTGTTCTGTGCACCTCCTTTAACACATTGATTATATCTATAGCACTTGTTTCAAGGTCTCTTAATGTCCAAGTGAGAAAATGTGGCCTTGTTCTCCTGCCAGCTCCCTCGTGAGAACTCTGGATAATGTCTGAATGAGCCGATTAGACAACACAGCAGTAGATTTGCTTTAAACAAAAACATGGGATCTCCATAGCAGAATTATTACCTTACATCTCTGCCTGTTGTACCACCTCTCACCTGAATGCTCCACATATTTCTGTGTTTTTGTGATCCAAATCATGATATACATTATCTCAAGGCACTTTACATAGAAAGTTAAGAGCTTAAAATCTTATTTAATATAGAGAAACCCAACAGTTCTCACAATGAGCAGCACTTTGGCGACTGGAGAGGAAAAACTCCCTCATTAACAGAGAGAAAGCTCTGGAAGAACCAGACTCAATGTGGGTTGTCATCTGTTCAGACATCTTCCAGAGTTCATGTCTGAAAATGGTTCTACGCCCCAAAGCTAGTGTTGTTCCACAGTCGTAGGTCACTTTAGGCAAAAGTTCAAGGGTGGTTTCACCTCTTGTTAGTATAACCAACAATAAGTTTATAGTATATTATAGTGTATACTCTCTAGTGTTATAATGCACACACTGCACGACATATGAATTGTGTGAATTGGGACAGAGCTGATTTATTCACTTGCATCTCTTCCAGAGGGCACAGCAGGAGGAGCTGGACAAGATTGAAAAGCACATCAAGTCCTCTAAAGACAAAGAGAATGCTAAACCTCTGGACAAACCTGAGCAGTGAGTTATTCCTCGACATTTCAACGACTAACCGGTGCAAATCACGCAGCACAGAATGAGAGAGTCAGTGCAGAGTTGATAGAGCCACAGCAGCCTGTGTTTGTGCTTTGTTGCAGGTTCCTCTACCAGCTCTCCGTGATCCCAAACTTCTCTGGCAGAGTTTTCTGCATCCTTTTCCAGTCCAGCTTCTCCGAGTGCATATCGTCGATAACGAGGAAACTGGACACACTGCAGAGAGTCTGTGAGGTGAGTCCAGCTATGATTGTTACTGTCAAATAAAAATGCAGGAGATTTAAAAACAAGAATGGTTTGTCTTGAACTCAACACAGCAAATGTTCAAAATGAAAATGATGGAAAGATTTTTTAGGGGGTTTTATCACTTTCATCTTCCACTGTGTGTAACGGGTGCGGTTTGGACCCAATAGCAGCACAAAGACAGGCGGGTAGCGTTGGTAACAAACTTGATTGTTAGAGCCACAGAGGAGACGAGAGTGACACTCTCTATGCAGAGCAGAATCAGGTAATCACCGGATAGCCACGGGAGCAGACAGGCAGAATCCTGAAAGGGACAGGCGAGGATCTTGGTCGGGGACGGAAGGCTGAGTTGATTACCAGGAGCTCGGTCAGGCAGGATGGTCGGGGAGAAGCAGGGTCGAAACCGGGAGATCAGGCAGAGAAACGCTGAAGAGTCTGGTGCAAGCATGAGAACAATCTGGCAATGAGTGAGAGTGGAGCTGGGGCTKAAATGCAGCCAGAGCAGAGCAGAGAGCACAGGTGAGTGGAATTGGCTTGATGAGAGGGGTGTGTCTGATTGGCAGATTGAAGCAGGCTGGTGCAGAGTGGTGAAGCAGAGATGAACTGTGACACTGTGTTAGCCCCTCATTTACCTCACCCATCCTCACCCTCTCGATTGTTAGATTTGTGTAAGGACACAGACTCTGTTTTTCTCTGCAGGCCTTAAAGGACGGTGAGACAGTGAAGAAGGTTCTGGGTCTGGTCCTGGCCTTTGGTAACTTCATGAATGGTGGTAATCGAACCAGGGGCCAAGCTGATGGCTTCACCCTCGACATCCTGCCCAAACTGAAAGATGTCAAGAGCAGCGTGAGTAACGAGGCAGAGGTCCTGAAACAAAGTGCCGTGGAACCTGTTGAAATGTTGCTTTTCCATCTTGGACACACCTTAGTGTAGTTCTAGTGCTGGATATATAGAATGTGCACTATTTAAATGTGTGTAAACATGACAATGTAGTTAAAATTCTATATATATGTAACATTTATCTTATTGGTCGTTTGAACTTTCACTCTTCCTTTTCATTGATGTCCCCAGCACAAAACCAAATCAACACAGTTTAGGAACTAATCCTCAATAATCTTTCCTCTCCGTGCTTTTTGTGGGTTAAAGTGTTCCTTCACCCAGCTCCATCTGTTCAGTCCCGCACAGCCTTGTGAAACTTGTTAAGGCTGCACATAAGCTCTGGGAGTAAAACTTTACTTTCAGATGTAGAGATTGTTCATCCTCTCACACATCTTAAAAAAGGAGTAATAACTGCTGTGTTTCTGTCACTGTGTTACTACTTTAAATTTATAACTATGTGAATAACAGTAACAATGACTTGAATAACCCTGTGGTAGAAATAAGCTGTAACACCACGTCAGCTGTAAATATTGTTGTGGATCATATTTTTTTTTATGTTAGCCCACGACAAACAGAAATCCTGTACAGTCTGAACATCCTATAGAGCATTAGTCATGTTGAATCATGTTAGTGTGGGTTGGGTCTGATGAGTGTAAGTTAGAAAAAGAAAGACAATGTGGGGGTGTGGAGATGGAAAGAAGTGAGCTTTCAACAAGATGGAAGAATGTGTGGAATGAAGAGGACGATACCTCTAATTCTGATGCACTGATTAAACTGTCCTGAGTCTGTCCTAAATTCAGTTGAAACTACATCTCCACTCTTACACGTTTGTCTTCTCTCTACACATGCAGGACAGCACGAGAAGTCTTCTGTCTTATATTGTTGCTTACTACCTCAGACACTTTGATGAGGTGAGCAGCTTTGCTTTCATAATTCCTCTCTGTATTTGTACTATATCTAATTTTTATCCATATCATTTTTCTCTTTACTCTTTCACTGAGAATTTTCAAATCATGCTTTCCTTTCACATGTGGCTCATAATAAGAGTATACCCCCAACCTCTAAAACTGTATTCTTCATGTCTATTAGACTGGCAGCCATCAAACTGTAAAACACTATCAAACATTATGATCTGCCTTATTATTTGTCGTTTGTGTGTGTGTGTGTGTGTGTGTGTGTGTGTGTGTGTGTGTGTGTGTGTGTGTGTGTGTGTGTAGGATGCTGGCAGGGAGACGTGTGTGTATCCAATCCCAGAGCCTCACGATTTGTTCCAGGCTTCACAGATGAAATTTGAAGACTTTCAGAAAGACCTGACTCGACTCAGGAAGGACCTCAGAGGTGACACACACACACACACACACACACACAAGCACACACACACAAAGTCTACGTTGTTATGGCCTCTGAATGAAAATGACTGTTTTTGAATGCTAAAGTGATGATCTACAAAAATCCTCAGTTTTTCCTGGATTTCCATTTTTGCAATGACAGGAGAGTTTTTCTTATGTCAGTGCCACTCACCACTTTTCCTCTATAAAAACAACAATAGTGGCCAAAGCCACAGTCAAAATGTCTTCCGCCCTGTAAATTATTTAAAGTTCTGGATCTTCACTGTGCAGGATAGAACTGACTCAACACAATAATATACCTCTGATGTAGGAGATAAACATTGATTACCAAAATGCAATGCTTGTCATCAGAAGGACAGTGTAACTAAACATCAAATATGATAATCATGTATTTTATAAATGTAACAGCTCGTGTTTTTTATGCATTTTTAGGTTTTTGTTTTCAGAAACATACAGCATTAGAGCATCAAAACACATTGATATCCATACACAAGCCTTATTGTAATACTACTTGTACTTTTCATGCTGCTTAGGTTTAGATCTTGACTTGACTGTTTTGTTTTGTGCGTTATTTTGTCAGCATGTACATCAGAAGTTGAAAAGGTGTGCAAAGTTTCAGATGAGGATAACTTGCAGCCTTTCAAAGATAATATGGAGGACTTCCTGACACAAGGTAACAGACAAAACCCCTACATGTATGTATGTATGTAAATGAAACATAGCAAGTCAGCCTTTCTGTTAATTTGTCCATCAGCATTACTCTTACAGACTCCATTTTAATGGCTGTTGAAGTGCTGGCAGGTCACGTGGACCCACTAGTCTCTGTAATATGACTCTTTAAACGGTTTAATCGATTTCATAGTTTACAAAGGTCTAGTTCTATTACACTGTACCATCATATCTGTATCTTTGGCATAAGGGAACAGGCTCAGGGAGAGGTCTTCATTTGCATGGCCTTGAAGTAAAAGAGGAATGGAGGACAGCTGGTGAAAATAAACCCAGGGACCTGTTTGTTTTGACCTTTTCCATTTATTCTTTCTCAGCTAAAAGTGAAATGGAGACACATGAAGGTCAACTCAGCAGCACTCACAAACTGTAAGCACAACTCCTTTATTTGTCATATTTCACCTGTCTAAATCCCTCTAAGAAAGGTGTGTGTGTGTAGCAGGAAGTACTGCAAAGTGTTGACATATTGTACTGATGACATAATCTTGATGTAGCACTTGAAGGTGAGTGAAAAAGTAATATTAATATATCAGATAATAAGGGGAATCTTTTTTTAAAAAGAGGCCAAGAATGTTAATTTCGTTACTTTGACCTGGAAAGTGTAATGTTCAATACCTAACCAGTGCTCTTGTTGTAAGAGATCTTACAGCATGGCCACAGAAAACATGTTTATAAGGGAAGAGTTACTTCCTGTTAATAGCAAAGTTCTAGCCTGGTTATATCAGCACGCTAAATTAATCTGAACTGTACTGCTGACTTATTCAGTGAAGTAACGGTTAATCCAAAATTGTCAAAGATACTGATACAAATTTTAGGGGAAAATGTGTATTTTACAAATTATGTAAAATTTGTATTAGGGTAAAATTTGTATTAAGACTGCACTGCCCGAAAATATGAATACAAGACTGACTGTATAGCTGAATGTTAATAATTCTTCTGGCAAGTATCCATGGAGTGAGATTGTTTTTAACTGTTATTAAGAATAGTAAAGAAAGTGCCATTTGTTACTTATCATTCAGTCAGAGAGTTTACCTGAAAATACTTGAGGACATACAGAGACATGTCCTCAAGACAGCCAGTGACTTGTGCTGAAGACACTCAGGGACTTGTCTTAAAGACAGCCAGAGACTTGTCCTTGAGACACTAAGGGGCATGTCCTAAAGACAGCTAGTGACTTGTCATGAAGATACTCAGGTACTTATATTAGACTATATTGCTAAATATTAAGTGATGATGGCTGCCATTAGCCTATAGACTCAGGTATCACTGGGTATCACTGGGACATGATGGACATTACCCCTGTGTGTTTCCATACACAGTCAATGACAGATGACACATGGCTGTAGGTCTTTCGGTCTTTACATCATAGTCTGCAGACTGTGGCTCATTTCTGGGGTCATATAGAGAAAAGGGTCAAGGTGTCAAACTTGACTTTGTGTCTTGGCAGGTTCCTGGAGCTCACAGTGTTCTTCTCAGTGAAGGCCAAGGGGGGAGAGAAGGAGGTCTCACCCAACACGTTCTTCTGCATCTGGCATGAGTTCTCCTCTGACTTCAAGGACCAGTGGAAGAAGGAGAACAAAACCATTCTTAAGGAGAGGTACTTATCTCAAGCTGCTCTACAACCTGCTGCTTTCTTTCTTTCTGTCTTTTGAAGAAGCTAATGTGCCTTTTATGCAAATTTAATACCAGTCATATCACCATACACATTTAGTGTTATACTAAAAGTGGAGACCTGAGTATGTGTATTTGTACCATTGTGTTTTGTGCAGGTTAAAAGCAGCAGAGGAGTGCTTCCGTCAAGCCAAGGAGAAGGCTTCCTACAGCGTCAAACCTAAACACGCCTCTGGCATCGTAAGTTGACCTTTGTTTTTTGGGGCCTCCTATTTAAAAGTCCCACTGATAAGGATGCTTTAAGCCATGTACTTTCTGGGCACTGAATAACACCTGTACACTGGCTCGAATCCAAATATTAGACCGGTTGGAGTCGACTGAAAGACAGTAAGTCAGATTAACCACTGTGGTGAGACGCTTCTCAGTATGACTGGAAGAAACCTCTGGCTGAAGCAGACTCAATGTGGGCGGCCATGTGTCTCGACCGGTTGGGGTGAGCAGAGAAAAATAGCGGAGAGAGGAGAGGTGGGTGGAAAAGAGGGGAGAGAAGAGAGACTGGGAAAAAGAGGAGAGAGACTAGGAACTGTTGTGTAACTGTCATTTAAGCTCTGTCTGACTAGTTTTTATAATGAAAGTAAAAAGTCATGTTTTCAGATATAATGATGTTATTAATGATAGCTGCACCAGTTATTATTAATAACAGTTGTTGAGTAATGCATGATGGGAGTTTCCCCAGCAGTCAAGGCCTATAACAGCATATCTTAGTTGGATGGTCTATAACAGCAGAGAGCACTTCAGGTTCCACTCCTCTCAGCCAAGAACAGAAATGTGAGGCTGCAGTGACATGGTTGCAGATGGTAGAGTCAGAATCTGGAGTCAACAGCATGAACCTCTCTGCCGATGGTGGTGTGATGGTGTGAGAAATGTTTTCTCGTCACACTTTGGGTTCAGTCTATTAGAGTATCATTTCATCTCTTTACATTCACAGTTGACCATCTTCTAATCATCTCTCCCAGTGTCATAATGCTCCATGTCACAAAGCAAAAGTATTTCCAAACACAGTGAGTTCGGTAAACTTCAGTGACCTCCACACTCACCATAAGTAATCCAGTAGAATCTTTGGGATGTGGTAGAACAGGAGACTGGCAGCATGAGTGTGCAGCTGAAATGATGTGATGCAGTTGAGAACATTCCCAACATCTGGTGGAATCAATGACACCAACAACGGAGACTGTTTTAGAGTGAAAGGAAGGAACTACTAAGAATTATGGTATTTACTAGGCGTGCTACTTTTAACAATCATTGCACCTCGCTACATACTGTATAGTTATAGTTACAGATATTGCGTTCAATATAGATTAACATTTCAAAAAGGATTCTTCTTAGTGGGTGATGCCCGATCCCTGTCATCACCCAATAGCAATAGCAATAACAGTGGCCTTCTGTATGAATCAATGCTTTAACTTTTCATACTGGCTGATTATAAATCCATTACAGTAACCATTTGTACAGCGGTATATCACTTCCGTCATGGGGAAGCAATGCTAAGTGGTAGTGCCAGTGCTAACAGCTATTATAAGACAGAGTGAAATTGCGCTGAAAGTGTTGAAAGCGTGCAGCGAATAATTGGTACAATCTCTCTGTTATCCCTCCAGACCGAACCAGCATTAAATATACCAAATTATTCATTTGCTGTTGTTCAGTTTCAGATGTTGGACACGTTTAGTGAAGTTATTGTAATGGGTTTCTTCACAGAAAGCCAAGCTGGGAATGAAGATCTGACTCCTGGCACGTATGTTTTGCCAACTGTGGGCACCAGCAGTGAGTCAAAGACAAACAGCATGAAGAGGACGGAAAAGAAAAAGGAAGGGACAGTACTAATGCGAACGGCATGTACTGTATGTGCAGCTGTGCCCACTCTGGACATCTTGTTTGATCATTGGTTCATTTGCAGATGATCACTTTTGTCTGCTCTGTCATCCTGTTGCCTTATGTTGCTAAGTACAACACAGTCATGGGAGGATGCTGCTGCAGGGGCCACCAGGCACAAGGAATCGTGGACTGCTGGGCTCAGTGCAGCTCACACACATGACATACATTATACATCAGCTGGAATAACTCACTGTCTGTGCAACCTATAAGTCCATGGTAAAACAAAAACCCCAATAATCAACATTTTGCTGCAGAATGGTGCAAGTCAAACAGTAAGACCACAATGTTTCAGGAGCTATGAATATGTTGAGCACTTATTCCCCCAGACTATAACCTCCACAAATCACCACAAGCTCAGTGAGGAAGACAGCTGGTACAAAATGTGACATGACTCGGTTTTACATTATTAATATTAACTGTCTGACAGGGCACATGGTGTTATTTCAGTTTAATTCCTAAACTCTCCCTGTCAGTATTCCTCAGTTGGCCTCGGCTATGCAAAAAGAGAAAAAAACATACATACAGAACTGAGTCTGTGCAGGATTCACAGCAGTATTGTCCCAAACAGAGACGGAGACTTCAGTTCATGTCTCCTCATAATGTGAAAATCCTCAGGACGTACACACAGTTTATAGAACTTGAGCAGAGGGACCTTGTAGCTTTCCAGCCCATTGATTCCATGTTGCAGGTTTTCAGGAACATCAGCTTGATCCACATTAAACAGCTTTACAAATGCATTCATTTGCTTTTGTTTTGCAAACTCAGACGTCAGAGCAGGCTTTTGTTTTGCAGAGTATGGAAATGCACAGTGTTACCCGTCACTCACTTATATTTAGCTTCAAATGGTTGTACATTTGAAAACAGAAAGCTGAGAAGCAGGTTGGGACTTTGCAGCTTGATGAGCTACTTGGTGATGTCCAACATGACCGCCAAATCACACAGTGAGTTCCATGACAGGTTTCTTCCTTTATCTCCATGAGTTGTTGAATTACATCAACCTTTGCATCTCACTGTGGTTAATCACATCTTCATCTTCCACCTCAAGCTCACTCATCCTTGGAGTGGTGTCTGTTTAGCCATCTGCTTCCAACAAAAAATATGTTGGAAATGACAGCTCTCATTTCCATTTTTTAGATTCTGTCCACACATACATGTATGATACAGTGTCAAGCAACTAAATCACATGACCGAAACTGAGATGCCTCATTTCTTATCAATGCAGTTATTCCTTCTCGCAGGCCAACCACGGCTGGGGATCTATCTCTACTAACTTTTCAAATGGTTGTTCAGTTTCCATAGAGCCATGCATGGCTTGTAAAGACAAACAAAAACTGTCTTGTTGTTCTGTATTGGTTATGTCTGTAGTTTTCTCATAGGTCAGGGGTGAAAATCTGGAAAAACTCCCACTGTGTGTTTTTATCTTGCTCCAAATCATTCATCTAACAAGGCTCCTTTACTTATTCTCCTTCTGAATAAGGCTTCAGTTTCTTAACAATCAGCTCCCTCAGCGTCAACTTGATCACAGAGCATTTGTTCTCGAACTCATCTGGTTTAGCCGCAAGTTTTCCAGCTGTAATGATGCTGAGATTGTTTTTTGCATCACTGTGATACTGGTTTGTCTTAGTCATGGGAGAAGACAAACATCTGCATCTGCAAATCCCTTATTTTTGTTACCTCACGCAAGAAGGTTACGTTTTCAGTCACATAGTATTTGGCTTTTGGTATAGCATTATGTGATAATGTAGAAAGCACCTTATATTTTGGCTCTACAACTACCATGAATAAGAATGTGTTGTTGGTGCAAGATAAATTCCCACCATTTAGAGTTTTCATCCTTTCTTACTATTTTCATCCGGTCTAAATCTCACCATATCTATGGTATATGTCTTGTTATGCCATTATTATGTCTCCTGAAACATCGAAAACAAAAGGAATCTTAAAAAATCAGCAGCCATTGATGTGACAGACAGCTGGATTGACTGGCATTGATAAGCAGCACTTAGGGACAGTTGGTGATATACAGATATATTCTGGCTATACTGTCCAAATGTTAAAGTAATGGTTCCAACATCCTGTATTGAAAAGTAACATAAATGTGGGTTAGCCCAAACAACAACCCAGCACACACTTGGACTCATACACCCTGACCTTCCAATCAGATTGAACCTCTCAGTAGAAAGTCACACACAGTATACAATCTATACAGCACTGTTGATTGGTAGGACAAGTCAGCTTACATGTGTATTTAAAATGTATTACAGTGATATGCCATATCATATCAGATACAACAAGTGTGTGTGTGTGTGTGTGTGTGTGTGTGTGTATGTGTGTGTGTGTGTGTGTGTGTGTGTGTGTGTGGCTGATAGCTGTGAGTTGGAGGATGTGTGTCACACTATGAATCACAGCCGTTACATTTTCTTGTAGAATTAATGACTTTGTTAATGTAAAATAATAAATGATAATGAGACACAATGCGTTTCTGTCAATGATGTCCTCCTCTGTTGGCTCGCATGCTATTCACAACAGGAACTTAACATCTATTTCGTGCAATAAATGTGTCTGTATACATCTATGTGAGCAGGATGCATGGGGTCCGGTTGCAGTGTAATTTCTGTAAAATAAAGAGACTTGAATTCTGCATTATTTTGATTTCATATATCATTGGTAAGATAAGGGGCGTGACTGAAAACTCACTTTCCAGGCTCTGAAGTCAACACAGAAGTGAATGACTTCCCCTTAGCCAACAACTCAAGCACTGAAATGGTTCTCCAGAATTTAGGGAGTTAAAGTCATGAAGTCACGTCAAGGCTGCACAGTGTTTCACCAGCTTCTGTTACTCAGTGTAATCTCTCATTGAGGATTTCTTCCAGTAATCGCATTAAAAGAAGTGAGCCCCAGCCTCTTCTTCCAACACTCAGAACTCTCACAGTTAAATCTTCTTTGTTAGTGTTGCACCTGCGCCTCAGGGAAACCTGAGGATAACATGAAAATGGTTTTCCCTTCACCCTCTCGAGGATGTTCAGTACCATGACAATCTGCAGTCCAGCAAAATGTCTTATTTTACAACTTAAGTAGAAGAAGGTGTCAGGGCGAGCCTGGCCAAAACTACAACAGAAAAAACTAAAAACAATCTTTAATCAATCACCACTAACTTGCCTAACAGAAAATGAAAATACCCCCCTAAAAATTAGCAGGGGTCCAATCCACGACCGCCACCTAACTCGAACCACCGGCTGGAAGAGAGCAGAGGTCAGGTAAAAAGCCCCACCCTTGGCTGGGGAGGGACAACAACAACAACAACAACAGACACTTGCATACAAATGGATTTATGTATTACGACTGTGCGTCATAACATTAGCATACCAAAACTACAGCTCTAATTCAATTTGAATGTGGTTGCATGAACTGTATGTAGTTGCGCTGTATGTTTTAAATTGGTGTCTACCGATGCTGTAAATGAAATGAATGAGGGAGAATGAACTGAAGCAAAACAGTAAACGTTCTTTAAATCAAAACTGTCAGCTCAATATTGGCTATCTACACAGAGCTGCAGAAATGGCTGATAATTCTTTGTGGGTAAATTAATACCGTATCACATTACCCTCTGACATTGTCATTATAAGAGCTTTAAGATTTCTGGTCACAAGAAATATCACTAGAAGCAACATCCTATATAATAGACTAGAAATTAGGCCCTTGTAGCCAAAGAGCTCACAGTAGCTGGGGAGTAAACAACATGAATAACTCAACCCCAGTTGTTGAAAGCTAGGTTTACCTAAAGGTTCAGTGTGTAGAATTTAGTGACAGCTACTGGTGAAGTTGCATATTGCAGCTGAATAGCCCTCACCTCACCCTCCCCTTACAAACATGAGAATAACCTGTGGTAGCGTCAGTTGTCATAAAACCTTTAAAGGTGTTTAGTTTGTAGAGTTTGAACAACTCTGAAAAACATGGCGGCCTCCGTAGAGAGGACCCACTCCAGGTGTATATAAAAAGTATTTAAATATTAAGGGCCTATTCTAGGATAAAGAAGAAAACAATTCATACAATTTAGATCAAACACACCAGGGAAAACATCACTAAGATTATTTTATATTCAATGTCTGCCAATAAATCCCTTTCACCTTAATCTTACACACTGAACCTTTAAGTACTTTGCCATTGCTGTACTATATAGTATTGACATACTTTACTTGAGTACTTCCATTCTGGAGTCAAGAGCTCCTAATATGCACATACCATCATGTTTTCTCAGAACAGAATGCATATTCAAACAAGTTAAACACAAGCAACTGTGCATGTTGGACATAATGGTGACAAAAAAAGAATATAAGGGGAATCAAGGGATCTCTCCATCTATTATCCCAGTCTAGACTCAGAATAAATGAGAACCATAGATTTCGATACCAAAATATACAGATTTTATTTAGAATCCATGAAAAATAATAATAATAATAATAAAAGGCTTGTCTCCAACTAGATTGCAGCAATAAGAGGTCTAAATGCAAGACGGTATAAAGGATGGATGGGGGACGAAATACACAAATTACAAAAATAATCTCAGATATAAAAAAAAACCCACAATGAACCATGAGGAGGGCTGGGGTAGTAATGTGAAAAAGGTCAAACGGTCACCTAATGTCAAGGCAAATTATGAGTAAACCACCACTTCACAAAACAATTTAAAACAATTCAAAACTGTTCTGCAACACTGACATTTGTGACTGTGGGAGGAAGCCGGAGTAGCCAGAGAAGACCCATGCAGATGCAAGCCAAACCTGGATTTTAACCAGGAACCTTCTCTTGTTTAACATTGCATCATCCTCTAAAAGACAAAAAGACACATTATTGCATCACACTGACAGTGTCAACATCTCTGAATATTGCACAAATACAGAAACATCCTCGTGCGATCATTTACTCAAGTTTGTTTCTCTAAAAACATTTCAATAGCAAAATGTGTATATTATACACATTCTGTGTATTAAATTGAAATCTTTATTTTTGTACTATAACCATTTTAATTCTCTTGTTGACCTAATTCTGACTGTCTGCTGCTGTGAAAGTGAATTTCCCTGGTGTGTGATCAAGTTTTATATTATATTATCTTACTATGACATTTTTCTCCTGAAATGTAGGATGGTACTTGTACAACATATTTACAGATCATCTAAATTCAACGGAACAATTGTTGGGATCTCAGGCCATGTGATTGGTTGGGTAACATGAAACGGAGAGGCCTGACTCAGGGTTTCTTGAAGCTCCGTGACAAATCCTGCCAATCTCACCTATGTGTGAAGTTTGGCCTGAGATGAAATTCCAGCCTCTGACTGGCTAAACCCCCCGGGAACCCCCAGGAGTTCCCTTCCTCGGTTGGCTGTCATGTGATCAGAGCAGGCCTGACCCTCCTTGCTGTTTCTCAAAGTGCTGTTGTGAATGCAGGAGCCTTTCCAGGTTTTTCTCCGTGACTTTCGTCACGCTCAAACATTTGAACCCAAACTGTAGATCTAGGCCACAAGTCTTCAACTTACAGGTTGTGGAAGCAGACTGTAAACATTCAGTCTCCGGATCGAAAGGAAATAGCCGTGCAGCATCAGCTGAGCTCCCAAACTGCCTGCAAGGACAAAGTATTTAGTCAAGGAGACAACAGATTACACATTTTCCTCTGACTGACTCGACTTCACTGTTTTGCTGCTGCCCCCAAGAAACCTCACAATAACAAAAAGGATTTCTTATAATACAAAGATGCAAAGTGAAATGTATGTGTGGAGGTGAGGGGGCTGGGGGAGCACCTGCACCACAGAGGCCCAGTCAGCGCAGGTGAGAGCTGTTGGATGATTGACCCTCAGGTTTAAAAGGCAGCAGCTGAGCTGTTTCAAGAGGACACACGCACAGAGGACACTCAGGACCGAGTCACAGAGAGACTGAGCTGAGCTGCAAAGCTGAGACACCAGCTGGCAAGTTTAAGTTGAGTTTTGTTGAGTTTATGTTTGTGCTGTGTAAGTGAAAATAAAGATGCTAAATTGCGAATGGTTTGTCTCTGGCTGCTGTGGTGAGAGCCCTGTGTCAGGGTCTACTGCCACAGCATGAAATGCTGTTTCAGTGAATATTTAATAGCCACCTGATTAGTCGGTAGTCAGTTTTGTTGCATTTTAATATGATCATCCAAACTGACTTTGGTTGTTACCGTGTGAATTACTGTAGTTTAAAGTGAGCCTGCTTCATGTGAAATCATTTACGTGAAGCATCTCAAACAATAACCAACTCCTCACTGGCACAGTTAGGATCAAGTTTGTGGTGTAAGAGTGCTCAATAAAACATTTTGACACAAAAGGGAGCTCCAATACCACTCCTACTGGATCCAAAGTATGAATTAGCTACCAATCTCATTGTTTTCTGAGAAACTACAAACTCCGTTGGAATAGCATGCTGATTTCTGTCCAGACATTTACATTTTTCAAAGTTTTTAAGCTGTGTTTTCAGTGAAACCTATACTCAAGTACAACTTAAAAATATGCTCCACATTCCTTGTTTGAATGCAGGTGACAGACTTATCTTCTGATATTACCCCTCTTAAATGACACGCAGCCTAAAATGACCTTATACTTGGACATGTACAACGTTTTCTTGTTATATTACAACTTAATTCTCAAAATCTATAAATCTAGATAAAGATTAAAAAAGAACTGTGGACACATTTGCATTGTTTATGTTTCTTTACCAGGTAGCTGTGTACCATAGTGGAAGCTGTGCCTGTGTAGGTCAGGAAGCATTCACATTAATTTGAGTGTGAGTAGGTAAAATGTTCAGTAGGCTATGCCCCCTCCTGACATAGCAACATGGGTGACACACATGCTGTTATGAGTGCATATGTGCAGTCACAACAAATAGTTTGGCAATATGCAGCAACCTATAAATACCTGGATGGTGAACAGGGTCAGAAAGTTATATCATGTGATATGATGGACACCTCCGCCTCAATGGTTACCATCATCTTGGCTATCAAAGTGGAAGTAGTGGGGCCTCAAAGGTTTTTTTCAAACTTGTGAAAATACCAACTGAGAAAGGATGACACATAGTCATCACTGGTGAGGACACATACAACCAAGTCCAACATTCATTTTTAAATCAAGTGAGTAAACAACCATTGAAGTTACGATCATTGCTCTGATGCGTGTTGGCTGTATTTCTCTCAAAACAAATACCCTGTTGAAATCCTTGCACTACATTAGTAGTAAAGTATATAGTTTTCACGGTAGACTACATGTAAGTGTACTGACTAAAGTATCTGATTTGAGACACACAAAAAAAGTGTACACATTAGTTAACTATAAGTAAGTAATGAGACCCAATGTCTGACTGACTACATGAATAGTTTTGTCTCGTTAAGAATGTTACACAGTAATCAGCCAATGATTTGGTTAAGTTGTACGAGACCAAACAAGGTTTCTGGGTTTTTTTGTGTGTCGTTTTAATTCTATTCGGTTACTTGTGCCAGGCAAATTCAACTGTCAAGGGCGTAGGAAATTGTGACCGAACACAGCCTCAGAGGCAAAAGAGTTGCAAAAGAAGCAGGACACATTTGTAACACTGAGGTGACTGAACGGCTATAGGCCTGCATACTGCAGCTAATGAGTGGTTGGTGATAGATAAGTCCCAACTATCCTCAACTGAAAAAAATGCTGACAGCAGTTACCGGGAAGCAACACACAGATGAAGAGGGGAAAAAACAACACGCAGAAGGAAAAGAGCAGGAGAACATGAGCAAAAAAAGGAGATAAATCTGGATTCTTAGAGAAGCTGCATTTGAAACATTCACTGGGAAAAAAACCTGCACATGTCCAATGCTTTTGGGCCAACGCTCAGTGTTCAGAGTCGTTTTGTGTGAGCCACTCCCACCCATCAATGATGCTAAGTGCAGTTGATGAAGGGATAATGTAATACAATACAGATTATGTGAATGAAAGAACAAAAGTGTAGCTACTTCTTTTGTGAAGAAGAAGCGTTTCAGACACCAGATTTGTCCCTTTAGCCAAAGTTATCAAGCTCTGGTGATGCTGATGCCAAAATGTGTTCTTAAGTTGACCGATATGTTTTTACTAT